TTCTCCTCATTTGGTTCTGGTTCTGAGGATGCGAACCAGAACCAGAACCAGAACCAGAACCAGAACCAGAACTAGAACAGAGCTAGAAGACCTGAGAGGTCTGGAAGGTTGATGCAACACCAGCAGATTTTTAACGTACTGTGGTGCAAAGCCGTCCAGTGATTTATAAACTAACAGTATTTTAAAGTCTATAATCATATAATATAGACTTCATCTCATCCTGCATGAAACAGTTTGAGCAGATCTGATCACGGGGCCTTTACAGCATCTGAGAAATATAACTCTATACAGACGACGCTGCTGTTCATGCAGCAGAGCAGAGAGAACTATATGTTTTTATCTCACTGGTAGGTTTGGATCGAATCACTTCAGTCACCTGCTCTCTCTCAACTTCAGGTTTATTGACAATTTCAGCTTTATCTGGGAGTGTTCTTCCTCCCTCTGTCTAAAGAGCATTGCTAACAGCTGAGATTAGATACAATGTACAACCACGACTGTTTACATCCAGACAGACGCCTCTTTCCTTTTCTTTGGCTGCTGTTTTCACTGTACCGCTCCAAACTCCAGCACCACCTGCAGCCCTCGTCTTGCACAACCGTCATCCACGTCTCAGTTCCCATCACTTCCTGTGCTGCTGCCAAACATTTTCCGCACTCCTGTTCATTTGTCAACCGTCTTCATGTGAAGGATAAGAAATGGTTTCTTTCAGCATCAGAGAACGCGGATCCTCAAAAGATGTTTGTGAGTTGTGCTACCTGTGAAGGCCTCTGAGCTGCCACATTCAGTCCATGACGTGGGGTTCCCCAGGACTCTGTTTTGGGCCCATTTCTTATTGTTGCCCCCTACGACAAATTTCATATCTCCTATTACCTTAATGTTGAAAAAAGTGAGCTGTAAAGATCGTTTAAATCTGTCTTCACTGAAAAAAATCACAAGCGGCTATGACCAAACATCATTAATTAAGCCTTTCTTCCTGCTCTTTGAGGTAGATACATTATAATCTCAGCCAACATGCAAAAAGCTATTTTTATTAAGTTATGACAGAATTTTGAAGATTTTGAAATAGATTTATAAGAAAAACGTTATATCACTTATATAAGTGGAGAACTGGACATTCAACATTTATTACCCCAAACAGCTCCAGTCAAAGGGTCGTCGTGACTTTCACAGTTCATGAACCAGAAAAAAAAAACTGCTCTATTTTTCCACTTTATTCATAGTGGGAAAAAAGAGCAGCACATTTCCAAGAATGTTCAGATCTTGAAAGCTGTAAAAATAACAAAAGATGCTAAATTATTAAAAAAAAAAGTTTCCAAACAATTAAAATCTAAAAATGAAGCTGGATAAATACTCCAGAGGGCACATAGTTTTAGCTGATCGTGTGAGAAACCCATAATTTATCATCCAACTCTTGCCAAAAAAAAAAAAAAAGAAAACTATGAAAGTGAATTTTCCAAAAGGTCAGACTTTACCCAGCTGTAGTGAAGTATCAAGCTAAAACAAAGCTATTTGGTTAGCTGGTTTTCCACACACAGTGAAGAATGTGTGGTAACCTGAGGAGTAAAAAAAAAAAAAAATGGCACAGTGGAGCTGTTATGATTATGTAATGATAACAGCAGGCAGCTGCCACCTTTCAACACATTCAGAGAAGGATTAACCCCTGACCTCCACAACATTCAGACATCCAGATGCAATGAATTCTCCGCAGAGGCAACACATTCGCCCCGTAAAATCCTGCATGATGACTAAATGCTGCTGCATGATGCAGTTCTGGCACGCTGAGAGGGCTTTGTTGCCACGTGGTAGCAATAAGTGAAATAAAGAAGAGCATGTCCTCATCTGCATTAGTGCTTTATTGGAGCGATTAATGTTCGCATTGTAAAAGTAATCCGGTGAATACATCCTGTAATTAGCAAACCATATGGTGACTGGTGGCATTTAAATGTTTGAAAGAAACAGGAAATCCCTGCTCACGGCATAAAATCCTGATGTTTCCATTCGTTAGTGATATTTCATGACCTTATTAAGTAGATGGAGTTTGCATCCACTTGCTGAAGTCCAAACTCAGCATCAGGATGGGGAAGAAAGGGAGTTTAAGTGAATCTGAATGCAGTTCAGATTCACTTAAACTTTGTTGTTGGCATCAGATTGGCTGGTTTCAAAATCTGAAGCGCAGCCGTCGCTCGCGTTTTAAAAGATGGCCCAGAAACAAGCAGTGAGGAGAATAAGCAGAGTGGTTTGAGATATAGGAAAGCCAGCAGCGCCTCATATCAGCGTCGCTGAGGGCTCAACATGATGAACCTTGAAGCAGATGAACTACAGCAGCAGAAGACCACAACAGAGGCCCATCCTGTTGGCTGAAAACAGGAAACCGAGGCCACAGGTCACACAGACTCACCAAAACTGGACAATAACAAACTGGAAAGACGTTGCTGGGTTTTACCCGTCTTGATTTCAGCTGCAACATTTAGCGGCAGGATGGATCCAAAGGTGATCTACTGATCAGTCCAATAGCATCACGTCGTGGATGAGCCGCTAACAAATGTGCAGCTAATCTGTGTAACACATCAAATCTTAAAGAGCTGTTGAGGACACTCAAAGAAGCTTTGTGTATCATGTCAATCCAGAACAAATTTCTGAGTGTGAATGCAAAAGGAGGCATTATCAACTGGGATGGTGTAGCAAACAAAGTGTGTGGTCTACAGCTGCAACCAGTGATTATTTTAATAATCGACTAATCTATCGATTATTCTGACAATTCATTGATTGATCGTACAAAATATTGGCACATTCTGCAGATTTTTTATTTAAGTCTTTTTCTGCGATATTAGAAATACAAGCAAACAAATTCAAACTTCTGATATTTTTTAAATAAGAAAACATTTTATGTTATTGCATTTGCCTGAATTGTAACAGGCCAGCATTTCTTTAGCACATTGTTTTGTAGAAAAAGATGCAAAATAATTCTACCATGAACATAAACTCAGCTCTTTCTATTTGAATAAATAGTAATCTGGAGACAATGTTTTGCGTTGGCCGTTTAATAATTGGATATCAAAAAGGAGATTTTATCTAACAGAATTTGTACCCAGTGAAGCTGAAACCGAAGACATTTTAGTCAATAACCATCATCATTTTCAGATGAAGCTCATTTTTTATTTCAACTCCAACATGTTTATATTTTTATACAGCTTTGACTTAATTACTGCTGTTTCAGCAATTGGCCTTTTTAAAGTGTGTATACTCCTGCTAATCAGTCACTAAAGTAGTTGAATATTATTCCAGTAATCAATTAATTTGATTAGTGGTTTCAGCCCTAATACCGATTAAGATGTTGTTCTTTACCAGAATCCAAACTGTGTCAGCTCTTACGTCATCAAGCGTACAAAGACGAACAACGGATCCCACGGTGCCACTTATAAAAGAAAAGAAAAGTGAGAGAAACTAAACCCTTCGGAGGTTTTAAAGGGGAAAGCAGCAGCCAGGTGTTCTTAATAATGCTCCTGGTTAAGTGAGTGAGGTGTGGCCACCAGGGAGGGGAGGCATCAGCAGCGACCTCAGGAGAGAGACCGTCCCTACCCACCAATCTGGCAAAGGTTACGATGCCACAAGGAAAGTAAAGTCTGCCGTTTGACATTGAGACAAATTATTCACAAGTGGAATCATTTCCACTTGTAAGACGGTCGTCAATATTCCCAGAAGTAAACTCACCCTTACGGTCAAACCACGAAATGCTCATGGAAACAACAAAAACTCTAAAAGCTGCGTGTCAGACCTCATTTAGCAGGTTAAGTATCATCTGAATGGATCACAACTCATGACTCATGAGACTAAAGTGGACATGTCTGGAGAAAACTAAATATTAAATCAGTACAAACACTGCATTCCGTTAAGCCTGGGGGTGAGGGGGCACAATTTGGACTTTTTTTAGTGGCTATTGGACGCAGGAGCCTCGCCGTCAACGGCAAGACCATGAAGTCATTAGAAAGCCAAAGTATTCTTGGGCAAATATGACGCCCTATTTCCTACAGCTAATATCTGGCTGAAGCACAGAATTATACGCCAAAATTGGTCCAATAAAAATTAAGAGACAAAATCTCACAGAACATTACTCCTTCAAGCTTTACAGCTGCTGAATGTTGTTCTTCATTCTGCTTCACCAAGGGAAGTGCTTTAAACCAGAGGTCAACATCCGTGGTCCTCAGGACGCTTGTCCTGCACGCTTTAGATGTTTCTCTGGTAAAACCAACAGATCAGACGTCCTGGAACTAAGCTAGGGTTGTTGGTGACAGGTTGGGCAGTTCCTGCTGCTTTGTGATGTTACATTCCTTCGTTTTCCAGATACCAAAAAACAGCAATAGAGATCTGTTTTCTTTAAGCTCTTGGGCTCTTTTTAGAAGCAGTTTATACTCAAAGGGAAGCACAAAAATTATGCATTCAGATGACCAGAAAAAACGAGTGTGAAAAGCTGGTACATTTCAATACCACCGACATTCAGTCTAAGTTCAGAGCATCAAACAGCTGCGTTTTTTTCTCAGACCCTGTCATGCTACTCAAATTCCTCCAATGCGTCACTAAGGGGTGAAATCTATGGCTTTACTCTGGGTAGCACCCAGGATGAAATAATGGGAAGATAAATTCAAATTTGATTTTTTGATCAAAAACCAAACAAAAGTCCATCACTGGCTTGAGAGAGAATAGAGGAAGTGACTCCCAGGACGTGGTGGATCTGTGTGTCCGGTTCTGATCAGCACCAAGGCCACGTTCACCCTGCAGTTTTTTTTTCATTTAGCCTGGTTGTTCATATTACTAATTCAACCCGACCGCAATCAGACTTCTGTGCCAACGATTTACGTCCACAAAGTGACCTGCATGCACACAGCAGCGCATTTATGGTTGCAATAATGGATGGAGTCAATTATGGATCAATCTTTAGCATTTATTCAGCAATGAGAGTTAATGATATAATCGCAAGATCATAACAACATGGAGGACAACTAATAGCGATGGTTTCTTTGTGGAGAACTGACTCTTGTTTGGGCGTGGAGGGACAGTGATGTGATGCAGACTTCTTTATAAGTTCATAATAATTTCCAACCAGTGTTTATGTACAGATTTACCGCCTCTGCTTTTTTCTGGTGAGGAATTATGACGCATGTCTTGTATCAATGCGTACAAGCCGGATGAAATGCTTCAAAAACAATCAGGTCCATGTATAGAAGTGGAACTGATATGATTCTTTGGGTCAGAAGATCTGAATCGGGCCGTTCAAACCGGTGAGAAAGCCGGATATGGGTCGCATATTGACAGAGAATAGGCAGGTTTAGGTTGCATTTGGCTGCTGTGTGAACGCAGCCCAGTTGTTACCTGGAGCTCTGACTCAGAAGCCCAGAGGAAAGACCCGGACCTGGAACTTCATGGTTCGGGGCTTGTGCTGGCAGATCCTGGGGATGGATCTGGGGAATTTCAGGACCAGGTCAGCGCCTCAGGACTGCTGTGATGGCCATGAAAACGTTCCTGAGAAGCTTCTTTCTCTTTTTTTTTTCTGTGTGCGTAGAGCTGACGGTCCCATGGGAAGAAACCTTCAGGCGCCTGGGAAAACCACTGGAGCACCGGGAAGTGTTTGGTCTCTGGTTTATGTTTGGGTTAACCTTGGATTTTTCCCAGGAGTCGCTACAAAAACATTGTTTCTCTTCACCTTCAGGTGTCCAGGAGGCTTTGGTTGACACGCTTATTATGTGCGCAATTTAATCTACTAATCAGAGGTTAATGTGGTTCAAGTTTACCTGGATTTGGTTGGAAAAATGTTTCATGTAGGACATGCAGAAGAATATATGAATCTAGCAAAAACAAAAAGCTTAACCTGATTAATTGGACACGTCTCAGTTCAAGAACTGAACCAGTGTTTAGGGTTCAGCATTTCCCTCCTCAGCTCAGTTTTTCCAGTGTCTGGGTTATGAACGTAAAGGCATGTGCTGTCCTGTTGATAATCACCACAGCCCGAAGCAGCACAAGGCCTTTTCAGACCTGCGCCGTCCCGTTTCCATGCCCCTGACAGACCCGCATACCGACCTGTAATATACAGCTAGCAATCACACAATGCACACTGAATGCTACTGTTACTGCTGAACACCACTTTGATTTGAACTTCACAAAGATGGGCCGATAGATAAGGATAAATGTTCATCACGTTGAGTCATGACAGAAAACTCTCTAATCTTGCAGCCAGATGACGATCCAAAACAAACAAGCCGCTGAAGGAATGGTACGCAAAGAAAACACAGAGATCTTGTCTTATAAAAAGCTGCATAGTTTACTCAACCAGGTTTGGAATAAAAAACATAAACAACCTCAAAATTAGAGGTGCCTGGCCAGCCGGTGAGGGAAATGTACATTGAAAGAAATAAAAATAAATAAAAAAAGAAAATAACCTTTTGTCTAGTGAGCCATTGTTTTCACTTGGTGTTTAAGGAGAAGGAGTCTCCAGACGACTGAGGAGCTTTGTTGTCCATGTGGTTAAACACATTAAAGTATTGCATTAAAGTCCAAAGTGTCTGATTTCAAAGCGGATCCTCGATCCTCTGGAAAACTGCGAGGTAGGTCTTCCCGCCGTTCCTCTGCACCTTCTTTCCTTCCTCAGTGCAGGAACTCAAGCGGCTTATGATGACGTCATCCACCTGTAATATAAACGTTGTTATTATTATTATTAAATGATATGTAATAATAATATAAAAGACTTTGTGACGTTCAGACCATGGAAGTCTGGAAATAAAAAAAATAATCTGAAAAGTGCATGATTTGGTTCACTTAGGACAGATTGAAATCCTCCAAACTTCATTCAGAGGATGTGTTTAAGGACAAATATCAGAATCGGGGATCGTTTGGACTTTGCAGCAGATCCAAAGCTCTCTGACACTTTGTGAGTTTTCCACACTGCTGTGCAATGATCGCTTGGCGTAATCATAATCCACGTCTCGTCCTAAACACTGATAAAGGAGCTGACCTAATGTATTTATTCATTGTTAAAGATATGAAATGTAGCAGCAGCTGAAATACAGTAAGGTTCACTGCTAAGCGTTTCCATGTTTTGCTACAATCACAAACTTCAGTGTGTTTTAGTTGGAATTTATGTGGCAGACCAACACAAAGAAGCTCATTAATGTTTTCAAAATCATTTATAAACATGGTTTTTAAATGTTTTTTGAATGATATTCTGAAAGGTGTGCATGTTCCATCCTTTTTGACTCAAAACAGCTGCAAGTGTCTCCAGCAGATTTACACACATAAAGGTAGAAACCTTTCCTCCTCTCTTCTTTGCGTAACAAGAACATTAAGATTCAAATCGTGCCACAGACCTTCGGTTGAATTTAGGTCTGGACTTCGACGTGAATATGGATGGATTGCAGGTCTGGTTGTACATTTAGAGCTTTTCTCTTGCTGGAAGATGAACCTCCACTTGAGTCTCAAATCTTTTTTTTTTTGCTTTCTTTCAACAATCATGTTCTTCTCATACATTGTTCAACAACCTAATCCTGCTTTAAAGCCTCTGCCTGACCCGTCGAGTCTGGCGAACCTCTGAGGCGTTCAGGGAACTGAAGTGAACACAAACGGACTGCATTCACTAACCAGGTGACTCACAAAGGATCTGGATTTTATTTAGGGGTATCAGAGAAACGGGGACTGAATAAAAAGAATTAAGAAGCTTTCAGATTTGTATTAGCAAACAAAATGGAAACCATCCATCCAAAGAGAGGTTAGGGTTCTTGCTCCGGCGAAGCAAGAAATAAAACATTTCATATGAAAAAAACAGCAGGCAGTTTGTTGAACCAATCAGAAGGTTAGATGTTCAAAGCTGGGAGAGATTTAACTATGTCAAAAAAACGTTTCTACTCAGTGTTTGGGGTGTTTTTAAAATATTTTTTGCTGATAAAAAAACAAAAAAAACAACATTAAAATCATGCCCTATCACACAAAATCTTAAAACACTGTGACGTTTCAGGATGGGTTTGAAGGGCATAAACACTGCTTGTGTCATAAAGAATAACTTTTTTAATGCTTAACATAAAAGCAAATTAAGCTAAGTGTAAAAACACTGAATGTCACATCCTGAAATGTGTCGTTTTTTCCATGAACTTGGGGCTGAAAGCTGCATGTGGACATACCAGATCCTCTTCTGGCACACGTGCGAACAGCGGATGTTCGCTGAAGTGCTTCACCATCCAGACGTGCGCCTCCTCCACATCTGTTATGGTGTACACCAAACCCTGCAGCAACCAGGGAAAACGGAAAAAAAAAAAAAACAATATTCACATGAAGGTCATTAGGACACTTCTGGGAAAAAAAAATTGGCTAAAATTCAAACACACATCCAGTTATCATTCAGGTGAACTTTTCCACTGATAATAAAATTTGCTCTTTTTTTTCTGAAAAGTTCAGTGTTTGGGCTCAAAGTTGATGCTTTCACCACCCTGACAGGGTAATTTATGTAAAAAGATAAAAATAGCAAACAGACAGTACAGAGGTGAATCACCTGTGTCAATACAGTTTGCATTGGAGGCGAGGAAGATAAAGTTACCAGAAAATGGATTTCTTAGTAAGTTTAGCAGTGGAACAAATTTCCACAGTGGTGCATTTCGGCACGTAAAACCTAGTTGTTTTTTTTCTTCCGACAGGGCAGAACGATGATGAGAGACGGCATTATCAGCAGTGCAGCCACATTAATCTCTGTTGCTCAATCACTACTGTTTACTGTTTGTGGTGTCATCTGATCATACTTTAAATTCAACCCAAGTGATGACTAAATGATACGCTATGAGAGCAGCTCTATAAATAGGCAGGTTGCTCACGGTCTTCCCACCCAGCGGCGAACGTCTGGCAACGCGCCAACGCCGAAGGCCCGTCGACACACTCCCCGACACACGCACAAATCCGTCAGTTGAGGAAAAACAATAAAGTCCCATTTAGACACAAGCCTCCCATTGTTCTCTGAACCCTCCGTCAGCGACGCTGCTCTGCTCAAACGTGCCGCAGCTGCGGGGTCGGCTCCGACGGGGCGGGGCCGACACCCGGCCGCAGGCGGCTTGCCCGAACTGATTTCACTGAATTCACTGATTTCTGCTGAACACAAGCTGCTGATAAAATGACAGTGAAGGGGAAAAAAAAGCTTTCCACTGCTGCAGCAGGTTTTGGGATGAAGATAAAAATGAGCTTATGTGTAAATCAGAAAATTTATTTTAGTAATTCAACTAAAATTTTTACACAGATTAAATACAGCTGATCAGTTATTTTTTTTAATCGCATAATAAAAACATAACAAAAGATGATTTCATTTTATAGCTATGATGGCCCACATCGTTATGTCTTTATAAATACCTTAATATTCAAACCTTTTTGTCAAGTGGGACAAAATCCTCAAGTCCACAGCAAAAAATACATCTTATTTAAACTAACATTATAAAAACTAAATCATATATATTTTTAACTTGCTCAATAATAAACTGATAATGCAAGATTACAATTAAACAGTCGTCAAGCATTTTGCAGAATAGTAATGTGTAAATCACTGTAGTTTTGGGTTTTGCACGTTTTCTTTATTAAGAGAAAGGAATTCAGTTTGCAAATTACTTTAGGATTGACTGGAAAACAAATTGAAAAAATATATAACTTTTTTTCTCAGAAATAATAAGACTTGGGTCACTTTTCTTTGTTTTTAGCCACATTTAATAAATGAATTAAATATTTGATTTCATGTAAAAGTCACAGGATCGATGTTATGCTATTTAATATGAAGTTAAAGAGAAAGTAAAAGTGTGTTTATCCACTGTACGTAAAATATTTTTTCATGGAAATGAAAAGTCTCCATCACTTGTATCATTCATGAATTACAATCATCAGGAGATGCCAAGAGTTTCAAACATTTTGATCACAGACGAGGCAAACAGAATCCAAATTTTTCCTCCAAAGTCCTGAATGGACTTTACTTCACAATCCTCTTAACACTGTCTGCATCAGTTTGGCTAATGCGCACTCTACTACCACACTTTTTCCTTCCACCGAACTTTCCTTCACTATTCATAAACACTACGAACAAGGAGCTTCTTCAAAAATGCACTTTTGTAGATCTGCTCTCCTTGTGGAAGATGTAAATGACTGAACCAAAGAAATAAAATGAATTTTTGATGATATTCTGATTTATTCAGATGCAGACGTAAAGCTGAACTCAGTAGACAATTCAACAAACACTAAAATGCGAAATGATTTCAACAGTATCCAACCACTTCTGAATGTTCATGTTATTCTGCACACAAGTAGCGCTCAAACATACCCCGATCCTGAGTGTGTAGGCGTATTCTGCTAACAACGTGGGGCTAACGATCCTCCATTTGTGCTTGGTCTTCTTGAAATGAGGGTCGGGGAACAGGAAGAACATCTTACTGAGCTACAAGACAAACAGTGGGAACAATTAGTCAAGCAAACAGAGAAAACAAGTAAGTCATTTGTGTTGGCCAAACAAAAAATTAGGAAAATTTCCATCAACAGTTCACCAAAATTTTTATTCCCTTCATTTAAAGTGAAGAACAAAACAGAAGGACCAGAAAAGTTCTCTGCTGAACATTTCATAATATTCATAAACTCTTGCAAGACTGGAATTTCCCTTCTTGACGTTTTTTTTTTTTTTAACCACAAACTTCCCCATGTTTGTCTTTGACAGTCGCTCAAGTGCAGGCACCACTGATATGAGTCTGGCTGATATATAAAAGAAAAAGATAACTCCAGTCACCTTTTATTCGTTAAAATAAATAACATCTGGTACAGGCAGAACGATGTGGGGGATAATCACCGGGAACAGCCTCAGGGGCTCCGAGCTGCTGATGGAAGATGGAAAAACTTCAATGCTTCAAATCATTTTTAGGGTACAAAACAAACCAGAGAGGCGAAAAGAGAAAAGTGCTTCGGCTTTGTGGAATATGCTGGCTCATGCGTGTGCGAGAGAGAGAGAAAGAGAGAAAGAGAGAGAGAGAGAGAGAGAGAGAAAGAGAGAGAGAGAGAAGGAAAGAAAGAGAGAGAGAAAGAGAGAGAGAAAGAGAGAGAGAGAAAGGCGCAACATGCCCAACTTTTGAACTGGGTGGTCCTCTCTTCGTTCTTCTTTATGCTAATTATGAGCTGCACAGAAAACTAAAGATGAACGATGCAGCAGTTGTTCCTCTGAGGGACATTTAAATGACTTTACAAATGATTCCCGAACTGATGTATTTATAACCTGTGAACCTGGCCATACTTAGCAATGTTATTAAGCAATTAATTAATATTTTTGTTCTTCTTAATCCATTTGGTTTATGGCTTTGGTTTTTTTATTCCCTCTTTATTCATTAGTTCTAGATATGTTTTTTTGGATGTTTACAATATATTCCAGTGTTCTGCACAAAATTAAAGTGTATTAATCTTTGAGAGCACGAGCTTACATCGTCATACCAATACCAATATATATAATTTATTGCAAGAACTTCTGGGACAATTTGTTATTGTGACAGGCAGTGGCGCTGGGCCCCGGACCCCCTGATCTTATCACACTGGATTCAGGTATCCAGTGTGATAAGATCCAGAATGTGGGGCCTCTCCTGTTGAGTATGTAGGATAATATAGAGTGTTGCCCCAGTCATTGTTGCTAAAAATGGTTGACTAACACTTTGCAACAAAAGACGTCTAGGCAGAGAACGTCTAGTTTATTATGTTAATGTTCTAGTAATAGCTTCTTCCTCTCTGAGCCGCCTTACAGCCCACATCAGTACAGGACATGTTTCACTGAGGATATTGACACTCTTTTCCGGGAGTGCACCGATTTATTAGCCAGACAATTCATCGGCATCCATTTCCGTAATTTTGGAAAATCGGTGATTGGCCGATACCGACGTGTGACGCTTATCTACCTCAACAAAGCCCTAAGAGTCAGCCACTGTTCTTTTCTGCTCTCCATTAAGAGAGGTTTGAGGTCAGGTCATGTCTGCATGTTTGCAGTTAACAATAGTAACCCCACTGTTACCAACTCAGTGGCTTTCTAGCTATATTTAGCGACATTTCAGACAAAAAAAAAAAAAAACAATTTCGGCCAAAATCAGGACAAGCAGGTCAGGCTTTTTAAAGGTCGGTAATCGGCCAAAAAACTGTAATCGTTGCAGCCCTGCTATCTTCCCAGCTTCAGCAAACATCTTCACAATGTCTTTTGCTTTCTGGGGTTCTGGGGTTGATTTGCCCATTTCACACTGAAACAAGTTACAGAACGACAGCAGGACATTCCCATGCTATTTATGCTTGATTATAATTATCTGAATACATAAATATTTCAGCTTCATGCTTCTGATTGTAAACAAGGATGAATCAGACTGGTGAAGATCCACAGTGCTCTGTCTTATATCTTTTCTGTTTTAATGTCACGATGCTGTGACACACGGCAGCAGCGTGTTTAAGGTGTTACTTTAAAGTAACATTTGCAATTAATGCAAATGTTGTGAAGCTCATGAAGCCCTGACATCATCGTCTGGGATTTTCCAAACTGTTTAGTCATCTGAAGCCCTTTTCTGATGGGATTAGTTTTACCTAGGAACCACATGCTGCTTGTAATAATGAGGGAGATCGTCAGTGTTGTTAATCCGGTGTGAATCGGCCATGTCAGTAATGTGTAAAGTAAAACTTTCCTCTCAAATTGCCAATTATATTTTGCTGAACTACGAAGTCACGTGAAAACACTAATAAATAGGAATCGCTTTGATTTGGACAGAAGTGGGCGGATCCGAAGCGCGCTTTAAGAATGGAGGCTGCATTAGACTGCACTGAAAACCTTTTGGGTCTGGGACAGCAAAACCCTGTCGTCCCGAAACACACGGCATCAAAACGAAAAGGATGAAGCAAAATCAGATGCAAGTGATGACTCACATCATGCATATCCTCTGTTTGAAGCCCTCTGTTATTGGCTAGCGCTAGCGACAACACAGCACCCAGGAGCCTGTAATATTGTTTCAACATTGACTCACGTCATTCCCAGAGTTGAGGCAAAAAGGCTAACATCAGCAAAATCTCAGGCTTTGGTTATCCTGTGCCACATAAAAAAAAAAGACATAGGTGAGTCATTTATTTAATATATGCGATCCCCAGATAATGTTTACCCCATGTGAATTGGGCTTATGAAACAAAAGGTTCAAGACTTTCCAGACATAGTACCTAAAGAGCTGGTTTCAGTATCGTTAGCCTCTGCAATCTCCTCTTTGTAGAAACTCCTTTAAATGCTTTACAGCTCTCATTCTTTGGAGATATTTATGTCTTTCCCATACTTTTGATCTCTTTTACTGGATGGAAAGTCCTAACCCGGACGGACACACAGTTGGATTTATGGCTGAACAATAGGGCTGAAAAACGTATCACAATGTGTTTCATATCGTTCGAAATCGATAATTATTCTTTCGTTTTTTGTTTTAAATATCAATATCATTTTGTTTTATCCACAATTTTTACAATTTTTTTACCCTGGTTACAAACTTAAAGTCTTCATCTGCAGGACAAATTTGTATCACTTCTGAATTGCAGTTAGGGGTCGCACAAAATCAGACAAAGGGCCACAAATGGCCCCCGGGCCACACATTGGACACCCCTGGAATATTCTATCAGATGCATTTTCTATTGATATTGATAATGTGTCTATTGCGACACATATTGTTATGATTTATTATCCAGTCTAAGTTAAAGTCCATCTATCTTCTAATAAACTAGAAAAGTTTTTCTGCTCCAGTTGAAAGAAAGCATTCCCACAGCATGATGCTGCCACCACCAAGTATGAGATGAAAAGGGGGTTGAATACAAATGAACTGCATATTTCTCAGAGTTTTTGTTGTATTCTTTCTTAAACCAATTCATCCCTTTTTGTGCCAGTCAACAACTTGAGTCTTTTATTAACGTCCAACGAATAAATTCCCAATAAAAGTGAGATTAAAAAAAAAAGAAATGTGAAAAGAGGTCAAGGGTTATGAACACTTTCACTCAGCTTGTCTTCACCTAAAGTAAAACCAGTCTCTCCTGATCCTTTCAGTTCATGTGAATTCATTTAAAGCGCCTCAAATCTGGGTTTGGCACAGCGTCTCCTGTCTGGAAGCATAATTAAAGCTCACATCATTCTGATTTAACCTGAACAGCATGGCAAAGTCACAGCAGATTGATTCCGTGTGTGGACTTTTATATGAAACACCTTTGTGATGTGAATTATACATACGTGACACTTTTACAGCTCTTCTGTACGCGCGCTCGTTTCCGAGTTTATACCCAGTCAGGGGGCATTTAAGGTGAAATGTTGTTTTATCTAGGTTAGCTAATTTATCCCCCCCTCCCACACAAAGCACACGGTGTAATCTAATGCAAGTTCAAACAAGTCCCAGATTACAGTATTTAATGTGAACAGCCTCTGCGCTGAGCCGACATAATGTCCTTCCCCAGTCAGTGAACCCATTGTTGTAAAATTCCTAGATGTATTAAATAATCTGCATAATATCATTAACTCCATCTGTTACAGATAAACGAAGCACCTTTTTATGAAACACATGGCCTGGGCTTTCGTCAGTGCAGTAATCAGTTTGCTGAACAGCTAAAATGGGATCAGTGTCTTTACAGAAAACTTTTCATTTTTTTAGGTTTAAGGTAGGAAATTAGAGATGTTGCACTGCAGAACATCAGTAGTTGGTAGTTTGAAGAGACAAAAGAAAGAATGATTTCAGTTTGGGGCAAAATCTTGCAAATTAAAGGACCATTTGCATTTAAAATTTTCCTTAAAGCAAAATCTCGTGTTGTTCTCATGAACGTGTCTTGTGAGTTTTATTCGTTCTTACACCCCCACTTGTTTTCTAGAACTTTGAAATAGTTTTTCAGTGTAAATTCACCAGTAAACTGTGTTACTGTTGTCAACAGGAGCTCTCTTCCTGAACATCCTAAATGGTTTCTCTTCATCTCATGATGACCGTTGGGATTTCATGGATTAAAACGTGACACATCTACCTTACATGGACTAACAACTGTTGAGGTTTTGAAATCTGGTGCTTTTGTAGAAACACATCTAAAGTATTTCTCTAACTAGCTCAGATATAAATATCTTCTCAGAATAAAAAGAGAGAGACATCTTTACACATATCTTTATTGCATTAAGTAAACTAAGATTATGCCTTTAAACAAGTTGAGAAATGCCAGATGAAGTCTTGGGTTCTTGAACCCTGTGACGGGCTCATTCACAAGTATAAGACACATACATGGATGTAATTTAAGGAACATCTTTAGAAGATGCTGTCTGAAGCCGCTGAGAAATTTATTACAGCAACAAGTGCTGCACTAAGCTAGTGCTGAGTGAGGAGGAAGCATGAAAGCCAGATTATAATTTGTAAATGTAGAAGAGATGAATGCTTTGATTCTGGGAGATGAGTCCTGTGGTCTGACGAACCCAAAAGTGTTTTATTTAGAGGAAAAAGAAAACCCAGCGGTGAATTAAAGGGGTGGAAGAATCATGATGTGTGGATGCAGGAGGGACTGATACATTTCATAAAGCAGATCAGAGCACGACGACAAAATTATGTCGCAAAAATGGTCGTTTGGGAGTAGTGGGTTTCTTGAGAAATTAGCCGTTCTACTTATTTGAATAATAAAATGCATTGTTTAATACGTAGAATCAAATTTAAATGTATGTAATTGACTTTGAATCTATCGGCATGATTTGACTGTATATTTCTGGGTATATACTTGATGTTTTTTTGTAAAGAGCTCTGATCTGACATTTGTTGTATATCTGCTTTCTATAAATAAACTGAAGTAGTTTTTTTTACATAATTATTTCATGCTGGAAAAAAATGATTCCATGATTCTTTTTATATCCCCTACGATGTGCTTGTTTAATAAAAAGTGACTTGGCCATAAAAAAAATAGGTCGTAGAAAATGGCTCAAACAATGTATGTATGTGACAAAGAGAAACAAGGCTACTGATTCTGACCTAATTGTGTGAGAAGTAAACCAATAATATCTGACTGGTTGAAGAGCCGGTAAGTGCTGACGATCGACTGACAAATACAGAATTTTGAAAACCAACACAAAACTTAAACGTGTAAAAAATAAATACAAATTGTGTTAAAATATCTAGTCTTTCTCTCCTTTATTCCCTTTATCTCACTTTTTTGTTTCTGATTTAGAAAATCCCATAATAAATCCATAGAGGTTAGTCTACCTGTCCTTTGAAGAAAAAGTTGGGGAGGTACTTCATTGCGTTGCTGCGGAGGCACGCGATGTTCTGGTAGCTTCCCGGGTTCGTTTCACGCAGAGACCGAATGCGGTCCTGCACGTAATCCGATACTTTCACTCTGATCTCCAAGCCCAACATGAGCTTATCTGGGAATAGTGGAGATAACTCCACTGGCAAAAGGAGAAGAAGAAAGGGTGAAGACAGAAACACAAATCTTGGATCAATACAGAACTATTTTAAAACAGAGAAAAGCGCCAGCCTTCAGATCAGCGACTTATTTACCCAGAAGACCCCCGTATCCACAGCCGATGTCTGCAAACTCGACTTTAGGGGCCTCCGTCTCTGGTGAGGGACCAGGTATGAGGTCTGGATAAAGCTTGGACCAGTCCATTTCTTCAGGACACACCGGGCTGGAGAGGAGGAGCAAAACATGGTCAGCTATAGAAAATCCAAGTCAGATCACAATTATTTCTCCAAACTAACATTATTGGTTTGATGAAAGGAACATTAAAAGAGATTTTCCAGACACAGATGACTTCAGAACTTCAAAATGCAGCACAAAGCTGAAAATGCAACACATCGCAGGTCCTTCTCTTCACTATCTCTGATAATGACCAATATTCAATACTAGGGGGCAAGTCCAAAAATTCTGTAAAGTTAATCAGGAGCATTGAATTGTCTATAAGGTGAGGGAACTATGTGATGAAGTAACCACTAAGATGATGCAGCTGGATCCATAAATTTGATGGATAAACAGACAGGAGCTAAAAAAAGACAAAAGGCTCTTCTTGTTACTTCAGAGGAACTGGGGACCTTATGTCACTAAATTACAAAATATTAACTGGAGAATATAAAAATCTGCATTTCAAAGAGTACACAATCTAATTTTAAAACAATTACTACTACAATGAAAAAATTAAAACTACAATAAATAATTTGAAAACTTATTTTCTCTTTAATGTAACTTACGTCAAAATAAATCAAAATGCTCAAAATTTGATTTTAAAATACATTTAAGTTGTACATCTTTACTGCTTCTAATTGTATTTTTATATCGCACTACGCACTCGGCCACCGTATGCATTGAGAATATTTTAATTTTAGGTAAGAAAAAGCCAGACAGTTGAACTAACCTAATACTGGTCATTTAAGTTAGAAAACTTAACATAGAAATCTATTTTTGTTTAATATAAACTGATGAAATCAGACACAGTAAGGAACCTTAAGTAATTGTTTGCATACGATGTATTTATTTACATCGTCTTTTTTTCTTGTCAGTGGTTTAAACAATCTCTTTTCCATTTGAGTAGAAAAAATTGGTTTATGAACTAAAAATCGTTTCTGTATCGAATTATGACCCTAAAAATCGGAATCGAAAAGCCAGACACCGAAATTATTGGAAATTAGAAAGATTATATGTGGAGACACAATAATTAATGAGCCAGGAGGAGTTAAATGAGCACAATATTAGTTTTAGGGATTGTAGCGTCATTCTGAATGTTCCCCTCTGCCCCCATTTCATTTTAAGAGCCACAGTCTGCTATTTTAAAAAGGTTTGGTTATTTTATGCATCTTTAACCCCCATAACTGTCTATAAACAACAGCATCGCTCCACTAAAGACACTCAGTCCTGCATGTTCTATCGGAATAGAAGAGGAAAAGGCACACGTGGCTCTGCACATCACTCTGGATGTTGTGCTCGTGGGACAAATCCACTCACTAGTCAAACGTGTGGTGGGCCATCGGGTTTGCGTGGGCTCGCTGTCTGTAGTAGCGCTTCTGCGGCATCGATGTGGAAGCCATGCTGGGTTCCAGCACGCAACACGGGCCAAAACCTCCACAGACACACGCAAAAAGAAGCCACTTCTGGCCCTGAACGCGGTTGATTCCTGTTTGTCACGTATGCGTGGAGTCGCGGAGGTTTGACGTCATCAGAAAGCGTCCGGTGAGGGTTGCCAGGTTTGTTCACCGTGGACGAAGGCGTTTTTCATTTTAGATGTGAAAGTTGACATAGGAAACAGAGAACTCAAAAAGAGTAAGAGTGAAAAAAGTATTTTGTAGAAAGGGAAATCAAGCAAAATGACATCTAATTTAAGATTTTATAATGTCATCAGGCAGACAAAAATATAAGACCATGAGCAAATGTGTATATTTAAAGACTAAAATAAAATAATAAAAAAATCCAAATGAATAATACCTTAATTAGTAAATGAACTGAACCTGAACTGTATCATGGCTGAACATCCCCACGTTGTTCATATTTGTATAAACTTGTTTGTATAGATAAAAGTGAGACTTTCAGGCCAAAATGCAAAAATTAACCAGATTTGGCAAATGCTCTCTTTCTGATGTCTTATGTTGTCTTGTTATTTTTTTTGATGATGCCACACAAGAAAACACTGTAGACAGAAATAATTCCGGTCATACCTGAGCTGACACAGAAAGTGTTTAAGCTGATTTAACATTAGTGACAGAAAAAGGTTAAAAACATAAAACTATTTTAAGGCCTTTTAATAGATGAAAGTTTTCTCCATCAAACCCAACAACAACATGAAACTGGCATATTTGTCCTCCAGTCAACATACACTTTAATACAGACATCAGTTTAAAACATTTTAACAAATATGCCACATCAACTTTTTTTCTGAAGGTGGGTGTAAACCGTTAAACCGTTTAGGAGTGTTTGCTTGTGCTTCTTTGTGAAAGTACAGTTTATGAGGGAAAGGATGGGAGCAATATTAATATCTGTGACATGTCTTTTTTGCCCTTTTTATATATATATATAAAATAAAGTTTTAAAAAAGTCAAAGTCACATTTTGAGACATTTATTATGGTAAAAATTGTCACAGGGTTTATAAATAAAAAGTTTGCCCAGGTTTTTGGAGAATAATCCCAGACTTTTCCAAACGTGACTTTCCACAGTTCTGTATCCTTTGCCCCTCACCATGAGGCTTTGGAAGATACTTCAGCCACGGGCTGGCTTTCAATATGTTGAAGGGAAGAAGGAAGAAAGGAAGGATGGATGCGTTCAGAAAAGGTGTTATTGAACAAAATTTGGAAATGTTATTTTCTTCATCCTTTGACTCTCTTTTTTCATGCTTATTCAGACCAGGACACAATTCAAATCAATGTTTTTTTCTTCCAGTCATGTGTTTTTACTCAGTCTGAAAAAGACGGTTCGTCACGGCTCAGGACGAACCTGAGAGCACATCTTACCACTTCAGTCTCAGGTAGTTTTTATGGCACGTAAGGATTTTATTTCATCAGCACTTTTATTTCCTCTTCAAAGACCGCAGCATGACTTCACACCGTGGTCACTCTCATGACCACTTCCTGGTTGGCACCATGCAGGTTCGAGGGCCGCAGCTGGCTGAGGATGTGCAGGATAGTGTAGCCACAGTGGTGGGTGAGGATAGCCCTGACGTGTCGACTCGTTCTCCGCCCGTCGGCCGCGATGCCATTTGAAAAGTTCCTTTCAACTTGACCGGCGGTTTTGCTGCTTGAACTGATGGAGTCGCCCAGATCCTTGGTTTTCTCATAATTCAGCACTTTCCACTGCTGGTTCACCGCCCGCCAGCGCTTAAAGATCCGGTAAACAGATGATCCTTCGTGGATTATAAGGCCTGGGTGGTAAGGGCAAAAGGTCGGGAGAGATTGGGGCAGGAAATAGTCTTACAAACAGAATTATTGTTCAACAAGAGCACTAAAAAGTACAGAAGGTACGTCATGTACCGGGTTTGAATTTTGGAGATTTACAGCCAGACAAATAATTTTTCAACATACAATAAGTGTTTGTCACTTAAATGTGGACTCAGACTTGTAAACAAGTACAGAACATTTTGAGAGAACAACTAATCATAAAACTCTTCATCCTCAACAGATTAATTTAAGTTATTGTGCTCCTGAGCTGGAGGAAATATTTTAATAATTTTGTAAAACTTTCCCTTTATGCAGAGGAGCGCAGTTCACTGTTAGTGCTTGCTTTAAAAATTGATTGTGTTCTAGTTGGAAACTGGAAAACTGGCGGAGTTTGATTATTTTTGTTGTTAGTGGAAGAAGCTAACTACTGCTACCAGACTTCAATTCAGTACATGGGATTTCTGTGTAGAGTACCACAAAATAGAACATGGCTGTAAAGTGCAAGGATTCATTGTTTTCCAAAATTCTTACATGTAAATTTTATTAAATCAGTTTGAAGATCTATCCTATGCTGCTCTTTCATGTCATGTCTTATGTAAAGACAGATATTCGTGCCCATCCTCCTTTTGCAACAGCTCAATCATTTTCAACATTATTAGTACTGATTCCTAATCTGTACTTTGACTGGGCCACTCTAACTCATGAACATGTTTTGATCTAAAACATCCCATCATAGGTCTGGATGTTTGGAGGTGAAACTTTCTCCCAGTCCCAAGTCCTTTGCTGTCTTCAGCAGATTTTCCCCTCAAGGTTGTCTCGGTTTTGCTCAATTAATGTTCCTGTCAACTCTAACCGGTTACAATTCCCATGCCGAAGGAAAGAATCTCCACAGCATGACGCCACCGCTGCCATGTTTCACAGTCAGGAGGATTTGCTCAGGCTGGTGTGCAGCGTTAGTTTCCTACCACATACAGCTTCTCTACCATAAAGACCAGATTTGTGGAGTTGAGTTAATTGCTGCTGGGTCAACTGATTCATCTGTCTCTCATATCATAAATTACACTGATGTTTGTGACTGAAATAAAAACTTATGAAGCACTTCAACACGTCTGAAAACTTTCACAAAACGCAGCAGAGAGCTCCAATCTCTTACCTACACACACTACGTCCATGAAGCCGTACATGCTGTAGCATATCTGGAACAAAAGGTCCTGCCGCTGCCACTTGGCCGAGGGGCTGAGCGACGACCACACCAACCAGGAAATGCTGGCAAATAGGAAGAGAGAGCCCAGGACAATGGCAGCAATCTGCACCCTTTCAATCACCGTCAGAGAAATGGCCTGCCACTGGACTCAAAGACAGAGAGAAAGACAGAATGCAGAAAAAAAAAACCCAACAATTTTCAATCTATGTACAGTATATGTATGCATAATGAACAAAGAAAGGCTATTGTCTAGTGAAATTCTTGTTTATCATGGTGGTGGTGAAATTGAGAGGTTTGTGTGTGTGTGTGTGGGGGGGGGGGGGGGGGGGGGGCGGTGGAGTGAGGGGCGGGGGGGTTGGGGCAATGAGATTCGATCCATTTTGAAGCAAAACTTTTCTGCTTTAGAGAGAGAGAGTACGGTGCACACACTGGCAACCTGAGCTTGATTTATTTCAAATTCAATTCAAGGTATAAAAATAAATATAAGAGAGACATTAGGGGTAGGTTCTCATCAAATCCCATTTTGACAGGTACCTTTGACCTCTATTTACCCCCCCCCCCATCTTCTCCCCCCCCCCTTCCCCCTCCTCCTCCTCCTCCTCCTCCTCCTCCTCCTCCTCCCCTCCTCCTCCTCCTTCTCCTCCTCCTCCTCCTCCTCCTCCTCCTCCTCCTCCTCCTCCTCCTCCTCCTATTGATTTTTATCTTTTTTAAAGAGTAATACCAATACAACAACAGTTATTTAATCAAGAAAAATGTATATAATTATATACTATGCCTACTGAAGTTTTAAATAGATTTGGAATGGAGATGTTACTTCTGATTCTGTGCCTGGCCTACGACTGGGGTCTGAGCTGGGGGGCTTGATCAGTGACATATGGTCTGTGTGTTAGGTTTTTCTGTTTTCTCTCTGCTGAATTCAGAAAATGCCGTATGTCTGACTTTCTTTTTAAGAGTAATACAGCACCCATTGGCAGGAATCTTTGGATAAAACACACAAACAATTTAAAAAAAAAGCTTTATCAGTTAATCTATTTAAATTGAGTCCATGCAACAACAAAAATAAAATAAAAAGTGAACTATCTGAAAGTAGTGAGGATTTTGTGTGCTAAATGTTTCACGTTTTAACATGCCCAGCAGACACCACACCATTTCTGCTCAAGCAAACCACAAGGTTTTGAACAGGACAACTATGTCCCAAAAAAAAAAAAAATGAGACCGTGTATCTTTATTGTATGTAGCAAATATATTGCTGCTGGTGCTGCTGCTGCTGTAGGTAGAAAATAAAAGAAGTTTTTTGCAGAGAATAATATTCTGGATGAGTTTAAGAATATTCTTTGCCAAAATTACACAGTGTAACTACACTTGTATTTTATATGTTGCAGTAATTGAATCTTTTGAGGCAATTGGTTTGCATAAATTTAAGTAAATCCAACCTATTTTCCTGTTCTACATACTTAGCTAGCAATTTGCCAGTTAGCTTCCCAGTCTGAATTTTTGTGCAACGTCTTTATTCAGTCAACTCTTCTATCCTGTACTCCAATTCTATTCCTGAACTCTGATATTCTACATCCACTCTGTGAATGTTTTGCTTGCTTGTTGATCTTCAGCATGCTCTGAAGGCAGTATCGGGTTTCTCTTACTTTAAACCGCCCAACTTGCACCTGATTGGCACTTTAGCCTTTTGATTCCCTCCCAGTGAGGCGGTGCTTCACAAAGCAAATTGATTGTCAATCTGTTGCTCTCTGCCTGGTGGTTGTTTCAGAAGATGAGGAAACATGGTGACTGAGGTTTACAGCCAACTAGCCAGATTATGCAGCTTTTTTTTACTAGATAGCGGTCCTAAAAACTACATACCTTTAAAATATGAACAAATACGTACAATTCCTTAATTATTTGATTCATGGGTGATACAAGTTTGGTCATTTGGAATGCAACTCAAGGACTGTGGCTTCTTAATGTAAGTATTTCTGCTACTGGACAAGAAACAAGGTTAAAAGATGACAGTTGTATTTACTGAGAGCAAGACTATGTCTAGTTATCAGGACAGACTGAGACCTGTAAAAAAAACCTGTTGGATCCATATGACACAATTATGATCTTAATATGACAGAGGGAACCGGTATCTGCTCCAACAATGTATTAGCCTTCAAGGAAATCATTTTGGATGCAAAGAGCAGAAATATCTCAACATCAGATTATTATTATTGTTTTTACTCTTATATCAGTGATTTAAAACATTTTTTAAATTTTTGATACCATGCGGTGCCATGCAGTACCATGTGGTCGACCGCAAAGTTGTGCGTGAATGTAAAAGTCAATTATTTTTGTCACCCAAAGAAAATTGTAATGTGTTTATTATGAGTAGGATTAACCGAGCTGAAGGGAAAACAAAGAAAAAAGGAGAAATAAATATTCAGCGATACAGAATTGACTCAGCAAATATGAACCTAGGAAATTATTGAAACCTTCAAGAATTTTATGTGGCGTAAGATATTTAAGAAAAATAATCCTGATTCCATACTCATGAATTTCTTTATCTGGTTGCTTTCTCTAAAATACGTTTTTATGTTGAACCCCAGACATCTCACCTCTTTCCCACAGTTTTTTTACACTTTGTTCCACTACTTATAGTCAATGTTTTAAAAAAAAAAATAAAAAACCCAGTACAGAGTTTTGAAGCGATGGAGGAAATTTACGTCAATATGGAACCTGTTGAACAAAGTGCATCTCATCCCACAGGTAAGAACAAAGTTACAGAGAAATATAGTATGTATTTAATTTAATTACATTTTGCTAAGGCTCAGGTTTCTGTTCAGGTTTCTGTTCAGGTAGCAGCAGCAGCTCCAAAGAGAGGCTCTGCCTCGGTGTGGCCGTATCTTTGGGAATCCTGAACGTTTTCCTTTTGACCGAACTCATCGCCCTCAGTGTACACAGTGAGTCTTGTTATAGTCATCTTAAAGATGTAAAAATGAGTACATTTTATGTTTCTGTTATAAAAAAAATGTCATTGATTCCTTTCTGAAATCGAACTGATGAATTAGCAAGGGTATAAAAAGAATAAAGCTTGGTGACTCAAAGTGATGCAGAGAGCTGAAACATTACGCGATGTTACATGAGTTTGAATTATTTTCAGCAATGCTTGCATTTGCAGCATTTAGGGTAGAATGTCTCCTCTTTCTTTTTTTTCAAACGATTTTCTGTTCAGCGTTACCTCAGTTTAAATTCTACAGCAGATTTTACACCTGATTGGCACTTTTGCCAAAATCATGAAATTATTTTGTAAGTCTTAAGTGAAAATACGATGCAACTTGTTTTTGCAAACACGTTTGTTGATTTTATTTATTTATTTTGTTTCCAGCTCATGACATGACAGCAGATTTTTCTGACATCAGCAACATTCTGACTGAGCAGAACAGCAACAAGTTTCCCTCCGTGAACGCTAACTTCACTGATAACTTCACTGATAACTTCACTGAGGTAACGCTGAACAGAAAATCGTTTGAAAAAAAAGAAAGAGGAGACATTCTACCCTAAATGCTGCAAATGCAAGCATTGCTGAAAATAATTCAAACTCATGTAACATCGCGTAATGTTTCAGCTCTCTGCATCACTTTGAGTCACCAAGCTTTATTCTTTTTTATACCCTTGCTAATTCATCAGTTCGATTTCAGAAAGGAATCAATGACATTTTTTTTATAACAGAAACATAAAATGTACTCATTTTTACATCTTTAAGATGACTATAACAAGACTCACTGTGTACACTGAGGGCGATGAGTTCGGTCAAAAGGAAAACGTTCAGGATTCCCAAAGATACGGCCACACCGAGGCAGAGCCTCTCTTTGGAGCTGCTGCTGCTACCTGAACAGAAACCTGAACAGAAACCTGAGCCTTAGCAAAATGTAATTAAATTAAATACATACTATATTTCTCTGTAACTTTGTTCTTACCTGTGGGATGAGATGCACTTTGTTCAACAGGTTCCATATGACGTAAATTTCCTCCATCGCTTCAAAACTCTGTACTGGGTTTTTTATTTTTTTTTTAAAACATTGACTATAAGTAGTGGAACAAAGTGTAAAAAAACTGTGGGAAAGAGGTGAGATGTCTGGGGTTCAACATAAAAACGTATTTTAGAGATAACAACCAGATAAAGAAATTCATGAGTATGGAATCAGGATTATTTTTCTTAAATATCTTACGCCACATAAAATTCTTGAAGGTTTCAATAATTTCCTAGGTTCATATTTGCTGAGTCAATTCTGTATCGCTGAATATTTATTTCTCCTTTTTTCTTTGTTTTCCCTTCAGCTCGGTTAATCCTACTCATAATAAACACATTACAATTTTCTTTGGGTGACAAAAATAATTGACTTTTACATTCACGCACAACTTTGCGGTCGACCACATGGTACTGCATGGCACCGCATGGTATCAAAAATTTAAAAAATGTTTTAAATCACTGATATAAGAGTAAAAACAATAATAATAATCTGATGTTGAGATATTTCTGCTCTTTGCATCCAAAATGATTTCCTTGAAGGCTAATACATTGTTGGAGCAGATAACCGGTTCCCTCCTCTGTCATATTAAGATCATAATTGTGTCATATGGATCCAACAGTTTTTTTTTACAGTTCTCAGTCTGTCCTGATAACTAGACATAGTCTTGCTCTCAGTAAATACAACTGTCATCTTTTAACCTTGTTTCTTGTCCAGTAGCAGAAATACTTACATTAAGAAGCCACAGTCCTTGAGTTGCATTCCAAATGACCAAACTTGTATCACCCATGAATCAAATAATTAAGGAATTGTACGTATTTGTTCATATTTTAAAGGTATGTAGTTTTTAGGACCGCTATCTAGTAAAAAAAAGCTGCATAATCTGGCTAGTTGGCTGTAAACCTCAGTCACCATGTTTCCTCATCTTCTGAAACAACCACCAGGCAGAGAGCAACAGATTGACAATCAATTTGCTTTGTGAAGCACCGCCTCACTGGGAGGGAATCAAAAGGCTAAAGTGCCAATCAGGTGCAAGTTGGGCGGTTTAAAGTAAGAGAAACCTGATACTGCCTGAAGAGCATGCTGAAGATCAACAAGCAAGCAAAACATTCACAGAGTGGATGTAGAATATCAGAGTTCTGGAATAGAATTGGAGTACAGGATAGAAGAGTTGACTGAATAAAGACGTTGCACAGAAATTCAGACTGGGAAGCTAACTGGCAAATTGCTAGCTAAGTATGTAGAACAGGAAAATAGGTTGGATTTACTTAAATTTATGCAAACCAATTGCCTCAAAAGATTCAGTTACTGCAACATATAAAATACAAGTGTAGTTACACTGTGTAATTTTGGCAAAGAATATTCTTAAATCATCCAGAATATTATTCTCTGCAAAAAACTTCTTTTATTTTCTACCTACAGCAGCAGCAGCACCAGCAGCAATATATTTGCTACATACAATAAAGATACACGGTCTCATTTTTTTTTTTTTTGGGACATAGTTGTCCTGTTCAAAACCTTGTGGTTTGCTTGAGCAGAAATGGTGTGGTGTGCTGGGCATGTTAAAACGTGAAACATTTAGCACACAAAATCCTCACTACTTTCATATAGTTCACTTTTTTATTTTTTTTTTAGTTGTTGCGTGGACTCAATTTAAATAGATTAACTGATAAAGCTTTTTTTAAAAATTGTTTGTGTGTTTTATCCAAAGATTCCTGCCAATGGTTTAAGATGAGTATAAACAACTAGTTGATGATAATTAAGTGATGTTCACTTGGACTTTTTTTTTTTTTAAAAAAGTCTGATGTTTTATTTTACACTGAGAGCGGCCAAAGTCCAGGTTCAGCAGAAGGCTGAAGGCATCTGATTCAGGCTTCAAACTAAGTACCCGTTTGCTTTACTGCAGAGCTTTGGTAAGGTTAAATTTAATGGGCTAAAGAAAATCAGACAGTTGATTCTCCAATGTGAGAAATCCCTTGAGGTAGTCAAGTTTCTTGTTTGTTCAAATTTGTTAGTCATTTACATAGTATGATGACTAATTAACAGTTGATTTATTAAGTGATCTTCAGTTAATAAATACAATGTAATCTTTCAATTCATAGTTGAAGTTCTATTATCGGAATTCTGCAAATTAAATATTTTGTCGTGTATTTCAATAATTCCTTTCATTCAGTCTAAGCTCCCTGAAAAGGAGAAATTACCTTTCAGATCAATATATTTTTGATTGCTTTGAGTATCATGATATTTTTACTTCATCTGACTGATATGATCTTCTTTAACGCATGCTGATGGTTCATATTGTTCGTTAATAAGCTTATCATTTACAAGAGGTGAACATTAGTGAACATTAGTGAACAGATAGCATCATGAGAAGCAAGGAACAAAAGCTGTAGATAATTTTAACGGTAAAAAAAAAAAAAAAAAAACAATCACCATGTTGTGACCAGCTCTGGGAGAAGGGGCTGTGTAGTGAGTATGTTTTATTTTTTTAATATTTGTTTTTAGGTAAAGTGCACCATTAGCAAAACTTAGTTAATGTTATTATAACTTGGGGCTAGTTGTCAGAAGATGTGAGAGGGGTTATTTTAAAAAAAAAAAGAAAAAAAATCACTGATTGAATGGTTGGTTGATAGCCAGCATATATTTGAAGTTGTGCAACAAAAACCAAACTAAAAAAATTATATGAAACCTTATTGGCCATTCAGTTTGATAAATATTTACGCAGACTATTATTCAATAAATCGATAGAAATCCAAGTGCATGCATTAAAACATCCAATCTAAATAATATGAATTGTATTCACTATCTGAATACAGACTGAAAGTTTACATTGATCATTTATAAGCTTCAGTAATGGAAAATTCAACAACTACATTTTGTTACTGAACACACTCAAGTGTGTAAAATGATGGATGGAGGAAAAAAGCATCATTTGGGCCGAGAAACATACAGCATATAAGTTAGAGACAAAAGTAGTGGATAATGATAAAGGTAACAAAATAATTTACCATGTCGGAGCGTAGTTGTGCAGTGTTAAAAAAAAATAAAGAAAGAAAGAGAGAAAAAAAAAAACTTTCAACTCTAGGGAAAGCTAAAACTTAAATATGAGTAGTCTCAGTAAGGTCTGTTTAATAAGTGTCACATATTCTTAAGAAATAAATTTACAAATGAGAAACTTTTACTGACATGTTTCACACTAGCGAGTGTTACAGAGAAAAATGTATGAGTTTCAAATGTGTTTATATATTTTGGAGAAAGCATGAAGCTCTGGGAAGATCAGTGTTGATTCAGCAGCAGGAAAAAAAATTGAACGAAAGTAGCATTTACAATGATGCGAGGATAAATTTTGGAAAATTCTGGACAAATTCTTTAACCAAGGAAAGTTAAAAGTCTAATTTGAATAACCTCCCGTTGGCCTGCTTACAAACAGTCACATATTCTTAAGAAGTACATGTACAAATGAGAAACATTTACTGAAATGTATCACACTAGTGAGTGTTACAGAAAAATCTATGAGTTTCAAATGTGTTTAAAGCGTGTGTCGCTCACAGATAACTGAAGGTAATTACTCTTTAGACAAAGAGCGATAAACTGAGAAAAAAAAACAAAAAAAAAACATGTGGTCTGGTTTGCCCTCATGAACCAGCAGGGTTCATGAGGGCCTTGCTCTGAATTCCCCCGAGGTGGCTAATTTATCATTCTGTCTGCATCCTGCAAAGTTTGCAAGTATGCAGCTACTACATTCCTTCTCTCGCAGGCCCTGCGTGTCGCAGCTCAGACCTCCAGTTGTAGGCCTGGCTGAACACAGACACAGAATCAGAAGCAACATCTCCGGCATCTATTTCAACTTCACTAGGCTTAGTATATAATTATATACATTTTTACTTGGTTAAATACATTTTACTTGGTTAAATAACTGTTGTTGGGTGCTGTATTACTCTTAAAAAGAAAGTCAGACATACGGCATTTTCTGAATTCAGCAGAGAGAAAACAGAAAAACCTAACACACAGACCATATGTCACTGATCAAGCCCCCCAGCTCAGACCCCAGTCGTAGGCCAGGCACAGAATCAGAAGTAACATCTCCATTCCAAATCTATTTAAAACTTCAGTAGGCATAGTATATAATTATATACATTTTTCTTGATTAAATAACTGTTGTTGTATTGGTATTACTCTTTAAAAAAGATAAAAATCAATAGGAGGAGGAGGAGGATGAGGAGGAGGGGGAGGGGGGGGATGATGGGGGGGGGGGTAAATAGAGGTCAAAGGTACCTGTCAAAATGGGATTTGATGAGAACCTACCCCTAATGTCTCTCTAATATACATAAGGCTTAACAGGCCACTTGTTCAGAGTTATCATGGTTTCATTTACACAAGAGCTTCAGTTATCCAAATTACCTATTAATTGCCACTGTGTCACAAACTCTCATTTCAGAGAGAGGCAAAGATGAAGCAATATGCAACAAGACAGGGTAATAAAATGCATACCATAAATTTATCTTATTTCAATAGAACTTTTACATTGATTAACATTTTTGGAGTGGAAAAGACAATACCCCACATTCTTTTTTTTAATTTTAGCTTTGTTTTACTGCCCTGAAGCCACCGCTACCACATTTAACAATGCATGTGGCATAAATGTCAGCAAGACCTCCAGTAAACCCGTCACTACGCCACGCTTCAAGACAGGGACGATGAAACAATTTTAAACCAACTGGAACTGCAACAAACTGGGCTGAACCATGACCCAAGTGTATTTCTGAATGTTCTTTAACCTAATTTGTCTGAACATATAATACATCTGGCAAAATGGCACAAGGAAGTAATTTACTCTACTGCTTTTTGTAAACGCTACTGTGTCAACTTAGTGATCACTGACTCTCACACAGCGATGGCTATATTTTCTGTTTTTTCTTCAACCACTCAAATACTGAAAAATGTTTTCTTTCTGAGATGCAACCCGGTTGTCCAAATTCAAAACCTGACATCTTCATGAACTGATCTCCCCTCTTGTTCTGGGTGTGTACCTGCAGCGGGTTCTTGGTGCTAATGGCCAGAACCTGGTACTTGAAGTAGCAGAGCTCGCAGCTCCAGGAGCCTCTCTCACTGATCCAGCGGATGAGGCAGGACTGGTGAGTGCAGCGCACAGAACCGTCACAGCGACAAGGGCTCAACAGCTCCCCCTGCAGGACAAAGACAGGCCACTGCATGAGACCACCAGCTGAGTTGCCTATTGAAACGTTGAGAAAAAAACAAAAATAAAACCCAAACATATATAAAAGAAGACAGACAAATAAATAACTCAAGCATAACTTTACATACTGTTGGCAGTATTACAGGGAAATTCACCAGCTGTGGACGCTGAATAGAGTTCGTCCATAAGGTAGGAGTTTCAATTAAGAAAACAAAAAACAGATGCTTTTAATCAAATCTGCATATAAAAACATTTAAATACACAGATGCAGAGCAAGCGACAATTTTCAGCTCTTTGGGAAACCACAAACAAAAGCCCTGATATGTAAAATATGTGTTTGAAAAACCTATAAAATAAATGTAGCAGAAACATTTTGTTTTAGTTAATTCAGAGTTGTAAGGAATTTGATGCAGTGTTGGTTGATTTAGTGACTATTCAAAATGGGGAAAAAGAGAAGAAAACCTGCTATAAAGGTTGAGATGTGTTTCGAACTGCATGAGATGGAAAAAGATCCAAGAAAATAGTGAACAGTCAGAGCAAATGAAAAGCTAAATTAGCTGAGATTGTGATGAACAAGGCTCAAGAGGGAGATTTGGGGACTATTAAGAGCAATTGCTTATTTTAAGGATTTCAACATCAGGAGTATCAGAATTGTAGAAACTATACATGAAACATGAACTGCTGAATTTTCACCGTCAGGTTGGTGATATGCAGAACATAAATATTATTTGTAGAAAACAGAGCCAGTTTCTGTCCCCAGACTGTCACTATGATGAATACAATAACAACTTTGGGAGGTGGGTAATTAACTACTGAGAAATAAAATAACCAAATTTGCATTTTCACAACCTCCTGTCCGTTTTTTTAGTTTCTTTGTAAATGTTTAATAATGGCTGTGCATGTACATACTGTCACTTTAATCATTTATCTTGCATATTTATACTAAATGCCTATTTGAGTGCTTGAAACAGAAGTCAGATTCCTTGTTTGAGCACACAATCTTGGCCAATAAAGCTCGGATTTGATTGAATGGGAGTTTTTAACATTCGGCCGTATTTTCTTTCCCTCTCAGTGAATCGTTTTATTTAGATACAATTAAACGGGACAGAAATAGACTGACGTGTAAAAGTTCATTTGAACTACAGTTTCCCACCTTCTCTGTGTTTAAAACAGCCTCATTTTTCTGTGGCTGTAACTCACAGTGATAAATGATCTTCATCAGTGACGATAAATCCCGCATCTATTTTCAGAGCCCTCAGATGTGGTTGACTCGCCGTCTTCTCTCCGACAGCTTCGTCCTCCTCTTCAGAGGAACGTTCTTCAGAGCGGCTTCGCTGTCATTCTCTTAACTGCCTTGAACATGATTTGTTTTACCGTGTTTTTGACAGCCGCAGAAGGTTTCGTTTCTCTTCTTTTCCAGGAAGGTAATTGTCACAAAAAAGTGCTGAACATTTAAAAATGAGTGAAGTGCCGATCTGCAGTCCATCACAATATGGGATCATAAATGCCGGGAAATGTCTTAATAGAAGATGGTTGCATTTCTTTGATTATTTTTGGACTATTGGTAAATTACTGTAAGTATATATGAACATTGGATCCAGAACCAAAAGGTCAAATAACCAAAAGGTCCTTGCTGTTCCCACTGCAAAAACACAAAATCTCACCAAGTATTTTGGGTCTAGTTTCTAGTGCAAATATCTTAGCAAACTTGAAGTAAGACAAAACTGATTTATAAGTAACTTTTCAATAAGATACAGAAGCTTGTTATAAGTAAACAATTCCTCAATATTGTTAAAAAAAGTTCTAGTCCCATTGCCAGATTATTTAATTTATAACAAGACAATTTTCCCATGTTACAAGTTAATTTATCTGCCAATAAGAACAAGAACTTTTTCAACAATGCTAAGGAATTATTTACTTAAAGCAGGCTTCTATATGTTGCTGAAAAGTTACTTTTATATTACTTGCATTATTTTAAATGCAGTAAGATATACTTGGTGACAGTTTGCGTTCTGCGGTGTCTGGATCAGTCTCCCTCTCTACATTAGATCATTGATCATCTAAAGAGACTCTTTGATTAACTGATTGAATATCTTTGAGTTGAATTCTAATCACTGTTGATAACTTGACTTTTTAAGTTTCTAACATTTTTTTTTTGTTTTCTTTGTGTCATCTGTGCATGTTGCAAAGTGCTATTTGCTGCTATGAAGCGCTACATGAATAAAACTTTAGTTGAAAAAAAAAAAATCTGCCAGTGTCGATGCATTTCTGGAGTCTGTAAAAAGTTTGAGACTGGGGTTGAAGTTCATCCTCCATTAGCCCAACAACTCAAAGCACAAAGCCAGAGAACCACAGTGCAAAGGCTTAGATAAACATGATAAAAGTCAAAGCTCACGCCTGAATTCAACTGATAATCTATAGAAAATGTTAAAGAATTGAACCCGGGGCTGCAGATTTAAAAACAGATTGAGATAGAAGCGTCGCTGCGAGGCATTCACGATGCATCTGCTCCTGAATGCCTTCACACAAATACATTTGGCCTCATCTCATGATATTTTCCCCTAGTCCTCCAAGGAAATCAGAAAACATCTGGAGTAGTGTTTTTTCTTGTCATTGTAATCATTCAGCTCCCTGAAGGCTCTCAGCCTGACAGCTCTATTTTCTGTCTGACTCCGGGGGATGTGTGAGGGTCTTTAATTAGTTTTATACCTGGAGAGGAAACTAAAACTTTCTGACGCATGCAGCGGCGCATGCTTCTCACAAGTTCAGACCAACACTTTGTGGAAATGGGATTTGGAACGTATTTTTGCTTTGCATTTGCTGTTTTTCACACATTCTCAAGTAAGAGCAGGTCAAAGCTGATGGGAAGATGGCTGGAGCTCAAACACAGGATGCTGCTCGATGGAAAAAGACCTGAGATTCAGTGAAGGTTCACCTTCTAGACAACAAACCCAAACAAACAACCACAGCTGCAGTAAAATGATTTAAATCATTCATGCATTAGATGAAGTCTAATGTAAAACTTGATCAGTTCTGTTCACAGATTGCCTCAATCCAATATGATTGAGTTTAAGCTTTATCTACTAAGAGATAAAGGCAAAAAAAACAAAACAAAGTTCTTCTCCAGATCTCAAAATACTTGCTGTTTTAATTACAACAAAAATACAAGTCACTATGATACTTTTTTTTAAATGAATTTGCAGAAAATATAAGATAAGAGCTCTGTTCTGCTTTCTGGTGGTTTCTGTGATGCTGAGTTTTCTCCTCAGACTATTCTTAAAAGAAGTTCTTTGTCTACCTGCAGCTATTATTAGATCACAACTGAATGCTCAGTTTGGTTTAATCTTAGTCAGTATGTGACTTTACTTTGAAATTGGGCCGCGTTGCATGGAGTGTTACAGATGAAAACAACCACACACAAAATCTTGGATACGTTTGGAGTCTTTGTTGTGTCTCTGCACCATCAGGACGATGGTTTAAACAGTCCATATAATTTTATTTAAATTTTGTCACATCTCTGTTGACTCTAGAGACTAGATTTTACTTTTGGGAGGTTGTCAGATTAAAAGGGGGTTTGAATGCAAATGCATTGGAGGTGTGTCAAGATTTTTATTTGTGCAAAAAAAAAAAAAAAGAAGACCACGTTACTTTCCTTCTACCACCAAACCCGTTCATCTTAACTAACCTCATTTAACCACTTGGAAACACTTTCCTGATAATGACAACAACAATGACCTACCCCGCTTGACTTGTGCTTAAACACAAAAGTTCACCTTTTCTGGCCCCTGGAAGCAGATCCTGCACTGCTGTGCTTGCACCCCGCTCTCAGAGAGACTCGGCAGGGAGGACGCCTCCAGACCTCCTGCTCCCTGGGGTTTGTCTCCTTCTTTATCCTCAGGGGCCAGGCTGCGTGGCCGGGGCCCGTAGTACTCCTCGTCGTCGTCCCGGTGGGAGCAGCTCATCTGCGGCCAGCCACAGCCTGCGATGGCGAAGCCTCTCATCCTGCTCTGCTCTGGGTCGGTGCCTGGGTCAGTCCTCCGGCTGCTCGAATCCGAGTGCATCAGCAGCAACACTTTGAGTTGACTGAAAACCGATCCAGGACGATACTTGAACATCTCAGTACCTTCACAGCACAGACCCCCTTTTTTGTTGTTGTTTCTTTAAAACATCACAATTATTGTTGTTATTATTAAGTCTACTATTGTGGAATTTATCACACTAAGCAGTTTGCATCGTTATAAAACTACAAAAAAGCCTGCTTGAGACATGATAGGCTGGTAGATCAGTCCACGGCTCTTTGCATATCCTGTTGTTATAGCATGTGCACTGCAGTCCAACCAATGAGGAAGGGTGACTGTTTTTCTTTATGGATGGAGGCGTTTTCTATCGGGATTCAATTACAGAGCTCTGAACCAGGATCCCGAGCCGCTTGCAGTCAGAATGGACCGGTCGTCCATCAGCGGTCCGGCAGGTCCAACGGGACTCAGTAGAGGTTCTGAGTGACAGTGAAGAGCTGTCCAAGGTGTTACCCTCAAAATACACCCTGCCTGAATGAGAAGATCAACACGGGTCAATGAGAACTCATTCATGTTTCTCATTAGGAGGAGAGCGGCTTGAAGTCCTTTGTTTCTCGCGGCGGCGTCCATCAGCTGCCCTGCTGCGTCTGCGGGCTTCCTCCCGCACCTCGTCCTCCTGAAGCAGCTCTCGGTCGCAAAGTTTCTGCCTTTTAAATCGATTCCGTTCTTCGTTTGGACGTCGGTTCGGCGTCAGCTCTCCCCGCAGCCATCCCGGCGCCGCCAGCAGAGAGGACGGACTCCTCCGAGCTCGAAACGACGTGCCGAAATTACGCAGCAGCGGTCCGCGGCGACTCGGTTCAAACAGCCGCGCGCCATCCTCAGCGACTCGGACCGGCTCGGTTCCTCACCCCAATGGGAGCCCGCAGCGCGTCTCCATCTCCTCCGAACGGGAACTTCCTCCCCGCCGCTCGCTCCATCCTCTGTGGGCGGCGTGAGGCCGGAGCTGCTGTCCAACGTGCTGACATTCACGTGACGCGTCAGCCGCGCGCTCGCTCATCCGACACATCATGGGAGTCAAACGGTGTTTGCTACGACACCTGCGAGCTGTTCGGATTGCAAGCCAGCACGAGGAGCGGTTTACATAAATTAGAAGATTGTCTAAAAGTAAAAAAAACCCAACTCGTTAATATTTGTGATTCATGCAATGAGCTGTTTTTATTATCTTGACAATTATGCAGGAAAATGTTGAAGGGCACGCCACAAGGCTGGATATGCAAGCGTGTTAATGGAAAGTTGAGTGGAAGAAAGAAAGCGTGGTAGGACGATGTGCACAACTGTCTGGGACAGTCACTGTTTTGTCAGGATTGTGGAACAAAGCCCAGTAAAGAATTTGGGAAAGATTCAGAAGGTGCAGAGAACCACTGGAGTCTCAACAGACATACATTCAATTTGAATTCAAGAATACTTTATTGATCCTAAGATTATGTAAAATATGTTTAAATATTATGTCATTCAAGGTTCTTCAAAGGGTTATTAGACAGGATCTGTTGTAGCAGTCTGCATTACAGCAAACTTGATGAAGCCTCTGACTGAAGACTCTTAATTGTAAAGTAATCTGACAACATCATGAGTATAAAGTTGATATAAAGTTGCCCATTTGCCTTTATCAACGAAAATACATTTTCACTTTAATTTGGGAATCAAGGTCCCAGAACCTAAAGGAAAAGTGGAAAGGCACAGAATCGACATCGGTTGAAGTCCAGTGTGAAGTTTATTCCACAGTCAGAGAGGATTTGGACAGCAGCGCCATCTGCTGTTCATGTCCTCTTTGTTTTTATGAAATATAAGGTCAGCAAGGCCATCTCCCAGGACATTTACTGCACTTTGTCCAATTTTGCCTGATTTGAGGAAGGTGAGGGCCAACTTCACTCAGGTCACGTGACATGACCAGCTATATTTCCTATGAACCACCAGAGGGTGCTGGAGAGTAATTTAATGATTCATTTTGAGTGCCATCTGCACACTTCACCCTGTTTGTATCTGTCTCTTTAGTCGTTCAACACACATTTTAAGAGTTTTCCATCCAGGCAATGAAGACCTTCATTACACTGAGTTGTCAGTGAGGAGCTAAGGTCTCTGTTAGACGTGAAAAGCATTTTTATTCATTTTGTGGATCAAACTGTTGCACTGATGTAAAGAGTTGCTCAAGAAGAACAAAACTTGCTTTTTAGATCTTATTGTTGTTGGTCAAACTGCTTAAAGAACACATATAAGCCACTTCCAAAGATTACAAGAGCATTAGGCTGCCTGAACGCAGAACGCTCTGTATTTAAACCAAACTCTGTGACTTTCACTGATTTTGAAACAGCTGAGTCCCATTTTCTGAGCTATTTTATTTCTTTTACTTCGGTTTAAGAAAGAGCCAGAACCTGTTCAATTGCAAGTCAACTTATATCAAATGTCTTTTGGCCAATAAAACATATCTGGGAGCTTGTGAGTGCTACCAGAGAATTTAGCTTGCAGACAGACAAACAGAACAGAAAGTCAATGGCAGCTGTAATTGAAATGTGATGCATGTATAAAAATTGTGTCTTCATGTGCAATAGAAATATGCAAATTCAAGTCATAAAATGCAGAATACCTCAAAACATTCATGTCAAAACCTCTGACCATAGAGGCTTTATGGTCAGATTCAACTAACAAACGAGGAATGAGTCAAAGCTGGAAACGTTTCTGTTACCCAGGTGAACAAGTGAGTGTGTGAAAGACGGAGTGAATCCGTAGTTTATGAGGTGCTTGCTGGAGCTTACAATGGTGGCGATTATGACACATTGTTACCATCTATAAAGTAATGAACAGATAAGAAAGAAGGAGTGTAAGGAGGAAGGTGAAGATCTCCAATGAGATAACAAAAGATCCAGGGGCGGCGAGTTGGCTGTGATAAGCTCTATCACAAACCGCTTTCAGTCTGTAAGTTTTCTAAAAATCATGAAGAAAGAATCCTGAAATATTTAATTGGAAAAAAGAGCTGAAAGTGTAAGCATTGTTGCACTTAATAAAATAAACTGTATTTTTAAACATCAGACCACTTTCTACGTTCGATCATTAAGCTTATTTAAACTACATCATTAGATCCCAATCAGGTCATTAAAGATATTTAGAATATTGCTCTGGATCGAAATTAACTCTAAAGAGGAAAAGTGAATTAATCAGAATGAAAGTCCGAAAGTGAATCAAAAGCTCGTCTGGACTAAAGTTAGTTTCTCAATTATTTCACTCTGTAGTTGCGGGATGAGGCTGAGATAAGGTGCTGTTAATTATTGATCTGTGTGCAGCAGCAGTGGCATTCAAGAGGAAATCCACATGAGAGGCAATCTTCAAAATGTTCAGTCATCTTGCACAGATAAAAATATATATATATATATTTATAAGCATTTAGTTTTTGGTGCACATTCTTAGATTGTTGATAGATTTCATGTCACTTTCAGAGCTTTCGTTCTTCCATTTTCCAGTTGCATCTTTATCATGCACGGTTTGTTTCGTCAAACACACGGCTGTTTGACAGTTGCAATGATTTTAAAAGCCAGCTTTTGGTTGCATGTCTGCAGGATCTGGAGGTTATTTTTCCCCTTCTTGAACACGTCACTCTTTAGATTAGTAAAAACTTGTAAAAATCCTAGAAACAAATTTGCCTTTTATCGCAGTAAACTGTGTGCATGTACTCAGTTGGGGAAAAAACACGCACAAAGAGATCACTGTTAAAATAATGTTAAAAGGGGCAAAACTGAAGATGCCTTCAAGCGGTTCCTTAAAAATTAAATTCTTTTTAGTTATTTTTACCGCTGATCAAAGTAAATTCCTTAGATGCATAAACAGTAGGCCACAATTTCTTATTTTTCTGGGATACAAACATGGCATTATGCGACTCAGAGGTCTAGCTCTATGAGCCACTAATGAGCCATCAACTTGAACGAGGACCTGTATTTATTTTGCAACCAGGCATAGTGAGCAGGAAACTCTGCCCGCCAAATTGGCAAATATTAAATCCGACCAAATATTGGATTGCCTGATGTCCTCAAAGTAGCAGGAATATCACAAACGTTGAAAAGAGTAAAGAAATTAGGCAAAATTGAATCAAAGATTCAATTACAACTGGGTCTCATGGCCCAGTAGTAATGCTGTTAAAACACAGCCTGTCGTTTACAGATGCTCTCCTTCCCCCCACATGTTGAAGTGCTGTGAAAAGGTCTGGCAGTGCTGTCGTTCTCAGTGTTCTCGTCTCCATTGGTTCCTGACAGTGTGGGGGGTTTTCCTGTCCTCTCGCATGCAGCAGGAGCTCAAATGCATGAGCCACGGCGAGGGAGATAGCTGTAAAAGCTCCAAAAGACTCTTAAATGGATTTGTTGTGCAGGACACAGAGCACTTAAGCTGTGACCGTCCAACTGGGATTTTATTTATAGACAACCACAAGTCTACCACTGATGTTGTTCAGCCGTCACAAGTCGTGGAAGCGGACGCTTCAGTCACAGTTCTAACTTTAAGTAAAACAACTTATCATTAGTCAGAGTCACAAACTCAAACTGCGTTCAGTCTATTTCTCCTTTCATCTGGACTCCATCTTTGCCAACCTTATTAAATAATTTAGGGGCTCTTTTATGGTGCCTCCTTGATGCTGATTTCACATGACTCTAACAAAAAACACACACCGCACAATCCGTGTTTTAAATAACAAAAATCCTTCAGAATAGAAATCTTTTCCTCAAAGATTGTCTATTGAAGCAAAACGATCCTACATTAAGAACAAAACAGATCATTTTTCACAACATTCTGTTCCATATAAGAATGTTTTCAGACATAAAAATATGAAATAAATGTGTGCGTAAAATGGCTCCCAACAGTGAATACACTCCTGTCAAAGCTACAGGTTTTTGTAAATAAATGAGGCTTTGAATGAAAAACCTTTATGGAAAAATAACAATGTTTATCCTGTTCGAACTAAATAAAAAACAATCTTATTTTTATTTGCATGTTTTTAAAAATAATCTTATTTTTATTTAGATTATTTCTTTATGATTGAGAAAGACATAAAGAAGATGGAAAACCCTGGTCACACAATCATACACACCCTTAAACTAATATGGGTGTTTTAAGGAAAAGGAGCAACATATACAGATGCAGAGAACAAGCAGAACTTTCCAGAGGTTCCTGTGCAGCAGCTTTGATCAGCTACGTATTTTCTTACATTTGGAGCAAAGTTCTGTTTTTGTAATGTGACTGGTCTTAAATACTCCCACCAGACATTGATGTCTATCTTGCATGTGTCAAGATAAACAGTGGACATATGAAAAGAAAAAGTCTGGACAGAATAGCTGATTTTCAAATGTCATTCAGATTCTATAAAATTAGAGACAGTGTTGATAGAAACAGGCAGGTTTCTATCAACAAGTAATGTTGTGCATGCAAGAAGGAAATATTGTGAGGAAAACATAAAGTCCAGACTGAAGTGGAGAGCCTACTGGTACTCCAAAATGACTGGACTCTGGGCCATTTAAGCAATCAGTGAACAGTCACATTTAGTTTGAACGTTGGTCATAAAAATATTTTTTGTACACTGAACCGCTCCATTTGGCAGAGTACATGGTGGAATACAAGCTTTTTAGAGGCAGCATTCATTTAAACCTTTCCTTGCATGTTTGAATGGAAACTAAGAATGTTTAATCACAAAGTCCAGATTAGGAGGCGATTTTCAGAAGAGTCAACAACAATTTAGTATGCCATGAACATGTGCCTATGATACTATAATGACCAATACTTTACATGTGCAAATGTCACATGATGACACAACTGATGTGCTTTATGTAAAGTGCAGTGCTTTCATGTCGGCAGAAACACTTCTCTTGGAAACGTGTACAGCGGTGGCTCTCTCTGCATTCTGCCACGCAATCTTGGATGAGCTTCCCAGACATGCAGTGTTGACAATGCATCATCAGATTGACCCTGAAAACTGTACTTTGCAATGCAAACTTGGTTACATCCCTAAGGTGAGCCAAGTGCGGCAAAGTCCTGGATGGTGAATGTCCCTCTGTACTTGTTCCATTAGTAAGACTAGTAACATTTGAACATATTTGCCATTTTAAGCATAAAATGCCTGTTTTATAGTTAAACATATCTCATTACTTCTCAAGGTAATAACACTGAGGGGTTTTGGTCCGGAACTGGTTAGCAGACCTGGTTAACAGCTACAACAAAAACAAGTCAGAAAGGCCAGTGCTCAATAGTTGATTTGCAATTGCATGGCTCCCAGCAACTTCTTTTAAATATGAAAGCCTCACCTTTGCCCAAGAGCTGGAGGATGATGGGGCAACACGGACACACACAGCTGTTGACAATTCTTTACAGTTCCCTACGATTTCCCATTCAAAAATTGCAGATGGTCCTCAATCTCCATGCGCACGGCAGCGCTGGGTGTCAATAGCTGTCTAAAGTCCCTCTTTTCTGAATGTAGACAAAGACCAGGACAGTAAAGTTATCTGGACAGATGAGACTAAATCTGGATCATTATGACACCAGAAAAGAAAGCACAGAGGTGGAAGGGTCATACTGTGTGTCGCTGTGATTGAAGGTTGGATTTATGCCTTTTGATCTCATATTTGTATTATGTTGAGAAGTAACTACGTTTATGATGTTGCGGGTCATTTTGACCCGTATTGTGTAATTCGTCTCAAAACAGTCAAAAATGAAGTCAAACCTTTAGTCAGAACTTTATTTTAGATTACATACACACTTATGAGAGATGAGAAGAACAGATACACAACTTGAACACTATATCATTGAACTGCTTATTTCAAATTTTCACTCTTCATGATCATTGCTTTTCATTGGCCTTGCCTCATTTTCTCTGTCAATGTCCAACATTTTCAGTGTTCCCCACATGATGGACAGAATGTGACAGTGTGCTTTCTGCAAATGTACTTCCTGCATCTCACACAAGAGGTGCTTGTTTTACTGTCATCTTGGGAGGAACAGACTTGGCATCTTTTGCGTTTTTTTGCACCTGTATCGAAAGCTTCCATTGTAGGTTGGTCAGATGCCCTGCCCTGGATTTTTGCGATGATGGCTGCGGCTGCCAAGGACCGAACTGGCCTGACTCGGTTCTGGATGTAGGGAGTGACGAGTGCTTTGCCCAGTTCTTCCAGGAAAAGTCGACGTCGGTGCAGTTTGCTGGCATTCCACTGCTGGTTGATCTCAATCCACAGGACATAGGCATTGTAGGCAGACACATCCACAATGTTGCAGAAAATCACAAAGGGCCAATAGGTAGTCTTGCGCTGGCAACTATAAGTCGCTGTGACTTTGTCAAGATTATCAACTCCTCCTTTGGTGGAGTTGTAATCCAGGATCATTTGTGGCTTCATGTCCTCTCTTGTGCTCAGAGATGCATCTTTGTGCATTGTGCTCATCACAAGAACATTTTTGTTTCTCTTTGGGCAGTAAGAAACAAGTGTTGTTTTCTCAGTGAAAGCAAATTTGGAGGAATGCGGACGTCTTCCTTCCATCATCAGAAGCTCACTGGGAAGTTCTGGTTTATTTTTTCTGACTGTTCCCAACATAGTCAGCTTTCTCTTCTGAAGTTCATCTCCAAGACGGTACGATGTGAAAAAGTTGTCGCACGTGATGTTATGACCTTGCAGCCCTTCAGTCATCTCCAACACCACCCGCATTCCCTGATTCTTCTCAGGTGCTCCACCAGCTGGCTTTCCAGTATATACTTGCATGTTCCATGCATAACTTGATTTTGCATCACAGGCTGCCCATATTTTGATCCCATATTTTGCAGGCTTCTTTGGCATATACTGTCGAAATGGACAGCGTCCTCTGAAGGGAATGAGGCGCTCGTCGACAGTAACATGGGGTCCAGGATTATACAACAAAGGCAGGATTTCGACCCATTTATCCCAGACATCTCTGATTGCTGCAAGTTTGTCTCTCTCGCGTCGACCAGCTCTGGTGTCACGGTTGTCAAATCGTATGACACGAGAGATCATGTGAAATGTCTCCAAAGACATTGTTGCTCGGAAGAACGGTCTTCCATTCTCTTCATTCCACAAACTTGCAGTTGCTTCACCCTTCGACCTGTATACTCCAGCTAACAACAGAATTCCGATGTAGGCATGCAAGCCAGTTGGATCCAGTGGTTTCCATTTTTCTTGAAAGACACGTCTCCCCTCCAAGTTGGTCATCTCAAGAATTATCTTCTCTATGGGTGGGGATATGAAAAGCTGAAATGCTGACTCAATGTCATTAATTCTCGTGACGGCAAATCTTGTTGGACCAGGAGTCATTTTGATGACATTAGAAGACGACAATCTGCCTTGGCTTTGGTGTGGTGATGATGATGACCATCTTATCTTACCGTCTTTAGATGTCCACGTCCCCTCTGTGGATGAGGATTGTTGCGTTTCTTGATTTTCATCTGATGAAGAATCATCCTCTGAATCCTCCTCATCTTGGGAAAAATGACAATCTGGATCATCAACGGCATTGTCCTCTGGCTCTGAAGGATCTTCCGTCTCTGAAATTTCTTCGTCGACATCGCTATCCCAATTCAAAATCTGCAATGAAGCTTCTTCAGCTGCAAATCTTCTGGAGCTCATTTTGGATGTGTCTCTCACAGAAAGGGCATGTAAAAGTGACAAGGAGAGGGAAGGGAAAGTCCCTCCTCCAGACACACCTGGTTCTCAATAGCTATTCTGAGCCAATCAACACAAATCACATCAAAGAGGCATGCTAATTTTGTATTTAAAGGGCTACTTTATGTCTGGGTCAAAATGACCCAAGGTCATCTTTGTACACAAACTGTGTGCAGACACTCCTCAACACATCAAAGACTCCAGATTTTACTCAGAAGTTTATGACCCTAGATGAGGAAAAGTCACAAAATGTCATGGAAAAAAAAATAAGAATAACCTGCACTTTGGTCAACTCAAAAATTGAAAGGGGTCAAATTGACTCGAAACATAACACAAGTTAAAGCTAATATTTATGACTTTAAATTACGCAGTCCTAATTTCAAAACTTGGAGTTATGTCCTTGCATCTCATAATTATGACTTTGTACATTTAAATTATAATTATAATCGTCTTTTGTATGACTGAATGTCAGAATCAGGGAATTCAAAATCAAAATATTGACTACTCCAGACTGAGACTTTGAATCCTGTTATTGATTTGGAAATCAAACTTATAACCTTCAAACTCTGGCAGTCAGAATGCTGACCTTCGACCTGCTTATAGTTTGTTTTGTTTTTTTCTTCCAGGTGAAGAAGGCTCCGTTTAAAAAGCACAGCCTCCCTTCACGAGGCGCTTCGAGGCTCAATTTGAAACTTTCTTTCCTTCGTTTGTTTGGCTCCGCCTCCGTCACCGAGTTGCCAGAAGCAAGACGAAGAGCAGCGGAAAAAACGAGAGCTCATCGGCGGAGGGGCTGGAGACATATCGGCTGATTGGCCCCCGATCAGCGGAGCGAACCGGGTCGCGACCTGCCCAGCGCCGCCTCGGTTCTGTTCCGGATTCATACGTGGCAGAGCAGCGAGCATGTCCCGCTGCCCGAGCTGAAGCAGAGCAGAGGAGAGGAGAGCCGGGGCGAGGTGAGTGGCTGCGTCTGGCTGATTGTGTGTGTCCGTGCGAGCGGGGCTTGTTTATTCTGCGGGGGGGAATAAAAGTTTCACTCGGCGCTGCGTCTCCTGCGCCTCCGGGCGCAGCTGGTCCCTCTCGGGGTTTCCGCTCCGCCACGTCAGGCCGCATGTTCCCGGGCCGTGGCCGCTCCGGCGTGCGTGGCCTGCTGTTGCCTCACTTTTCTCCAGTTTAATTAACAAAGGAGCGCCATGGAGCAGCACCACGTGTCGGCGCTGGCCCCGCGGAGCCCACGCTGCCTCCGCCCACTGGCCCCAGCGTGTCACCGGCCTGCCTCTCCTCCTCTCCTCAGCCAGGAAGCGCAGCGAAGCCGCTTCCGTTTATCAGATGATCAATGCATTCAGCTGGCTGACCTGCCCTGCGCTGATCGATTCACGCTCAGGTTTGGTGGAAACGTCCAGATGTTGTTTCCGATCAGATCTGAAGTCAGCAACAGGAAACCTGGAGATGTGCTCTTGATGGGAGGTCAGGACAGGAAAACTGCAGCCCCACCAGGAAAGGGAAATGACTGAAAGTCGTCTGGAAAACAGACAGTTTGGTCTGATTTGCAGCTCTTGCCTGGAGAAGCCCTCAGACAAAATATTGAGGATTTATTTATGTTTGCATTCACAATTCAAATACCGTGAGATGAACCATGCAGGCAAAAGCATAAACTTATTTAAACCTGCGTTTGTCCTCTTTGTGCCTTACATTGCACATTATTTGCTTAAAGAAAAGAAAAAGCAAACATAGAAAGTAAAATGAATCAACAGTCAGATTTTTAAAATATTTGCTAAGGATTTACATGACACTGTATTTCCATTGACTGTATTCCGAATCAGCTGAATGGTTTTAGTGTTTGGACCAAACAAAATGAGTTTTTCACTAGCAGTCTTTGACTCAAACAGTATTTAATTTGTGCCTGCAGCTTGCAGGGGAGCTGAATGTTTAACTTCACTCTCATCCCCAACATTTTTCCTCTAAGGTCAAGAAGCTTGTGTCTTCAGGACTTGTCAGCAGTTACCACCCCGGGCCAAGCTCCAAACATTTCCTACACACCTCAACGACACCGATACGAAACAGAAATGGGACGAATGAACCAGATCTGGTTCAGAATGGCTCCGTGTCGATGGCCTGCATTAATGTTTTGCACAAAGAAATTAGGACGCTGCAGTAAACCTTAGGAAACCGGGTCACGACAGACACCTTTTGTCTGTTGGGATGATTAAAATCTCAGCCAGCCGGATGAACCGTCCGGCCCAGCAGGCAGAACGAGCATCAAGCTGACCTTTCCACAGATAAATGCAGAAGCCCACCTCGTCCTGCTGCCTGGCGTTTAGCTTGTTGGCCTCAGGAAACCCACTGGAATCACACTTTTCCTCCTCAATGGTCTTTTTCAACCAATTAAGTTCATTTGAGTTTGAGATGATAAATGTTCTTTTGTGCTAATAACACTCAGTATCTAACAGATTTCAATAAACATGAATTTTACCATTCAGATGTTTTAATGCCTTACTTCAAATTCAAATAGTAACAGACCATAACTCTTTTTATTAAAAAATAAAAAACACTAATCAAAGTGCTAATGCTCCAAAGATTTATGTTAAGATTCAGTGTGAAAACTCATTAAATCAGACTAATAGAGCTCAGCATAAACTGCCTTCATCTGTCCAAACTAGGAATATTTCTTCCCGAATATTTTCTTCAGTCATAAAGAGCAGATAATAAAACTGTTGAAATAAACATTTTTGTTTTTAATCACTTTTGTGTATTTTTTGGACTGGCAAAACATGTCCAAAATAAGCAAATAGATTGACATCTACTCTAGTAAGACAAATCTTTAAAAGTGTATTTTATAATAAAGAGTCAGTTGAGATGTGTGGCCATATGCATAGTAAACAGAGTAAATGCAACCAGAACCACCATGCTGTTTGCAAAAGCTTATCATGTTTGGTAGTTTTGCAGTCACTGAGTCGATTCCCACTTCTCCAATCCGCGCCTCCATTTTGTTCCCACACATGGTCAGCTTGTCCTGACCAACTCGCATTCCAGTCTTCATGCATTCATACTTAACCACTGACTTGTCTTTCAGTTTCTCTGGTATAGAGTCATCTGGATTAATTATTACTTTAATGATTCATCCAAATGACTTTTCATCCAAAGATTCCAAGAGAGGTTTTTGACTTTCTCTTGGAAACAAAGTCATTGAGAAGAATTGCTTACAATTAAAAACATTCTGATTGTTAAAAATGTTTTCAGTTCTAAATTACTCCATCTGATTCAAAACAAGACTCTGTCTGGGTTCACATCCATCAGAAAAACCTGATGGTAAACTTAAGATGCGATGTTAAACCTAAATCTGCCTGTGATTAATTTTGGCCGTAGCGGCGTATGGGAGTTTTGTTCTGTTTTCATAATCTTGCAGACATGAAAACAGTCTCGCACAACTTTCTTTGCGCAAGAGGAAGAAATGTGGTGTTTTAATGAAGCTTCTCTGCCCCTGCAGCCAATAGTGTTCACTGTGGTTTCCAGATGTTATCTCTCGTGTGCGAATCTGCGTAATAAACAGTGGAGTTGCCAAGTTCTTGAGGTCTTGAAACATTTGCTGAAATGGTGCTGGATCAATTTGTGTCTTTTCTTCCGAAATGATGCAAGCATGAAGCCAGTTCATTGTTGCCGTTCGGATCTGTTGTTCTGTCTGTTTGGTTTGTCTGGGCTACAGTGAGATCAGTCGATGGTTCTCGAGGCCTAATGAAAATCTTTAATTTGGGTTTTTATAGAACTTTGTTTCTTTTCATTTATTGTCAGACCAGTTTATGACCTTTTTCTCTCTTAACTACGACTTATTTGGGGCATATCAGAAATTTCTGGTACTTTTAGTTGTTATAAGGCATTAATCTTTTACCCACTTTCCTATTTTTTTGCACAATATGTTGTCACTTTCCAGGAACCAGGACCCGGCTCTTATGCAGTCTGAAAAAGCAGACTATTTTATTTCAGTGTTTTCTTCCCTGTTTCCTTCATGTTTTCCTTGTGTCCATTCTTTAAGTCCCTTATGTCTTTCCTTCCTGTCTTCTGTCCTGCATACCTTCCTGATATTATGCCTCTATCCTTCCTTCTTCAAGTCCTCTTCCTTTCTTCATTCTTTTATTGTGTCCAGTCTCTCTTGACCCTGACATCCCTTCTTTCTGTGCATTTTGCCTCTCTTCCTTTCCTTCTTCCCGTCCTTCCATTCTTCTCGATGTTTGGTCCTTTCAGTCTTTGTATCAGTCTTTGTTATTCTTTTCTTCTGTACGTCCTACACCCCTTCCATTTTTTCTATCCTTCCTTGTCTCTACTTACTTCCTGTTCTTTGCGTCTTTTCCTGCTAGTTTTGATGTTTTTTGGGGGTTTTTCTCGCTGATACATCAAGCAAATGACAAAAAAAAAAATCCGCCATAAATTCATGATGAATGTCGAGCTGAACAATAAATCAATAATATATATCGCAATAGACAAGAGATGCATATCAGTAGATAATAAATCTAATTGGATATTCAACATTTAGAACATTGAACTCCTATCCAGAACCACACAGCATTCTGGGAGACGTAGGCAGAGGAAAAGCTTTGGTTGCTCCACTTCTTGCGCTGCAGCAGTTCAACGTTATGCCAAACTGCTTCATAACTGCTTTAAAAAAAGCAACGGCGTGATGTGAAAACTGAATCAGACCGGAACGGTGATGCCACCAGTTTGGCAGCAAAAAAAGAAAAATCTAATAATGTTACATTTTACATTTATATTTTAAAACAAATATTGAGCCAGTCTGCACAAATCTGGGGTTATTGTATAAAGAACTACAAAGTCTGATGAAATATTTAATGTTTTTTGAAGTATTGGACTATTTACATTGATAATGCAACCTCTTGGAAGTAAAATAGATGTAATGAGTACAGTAGCGCAACATGCTCGCACAGTTCTGTGTCCTGAAACGTGAACAATGCACCACAGTGCACAGGAGACACAGAATGAAATCAATTAGAATGAGGCATTGAAACAAGAAAAAAAAAACTCTAGAAAGTCTGCAAACATTGCACTAAGCTCTCTTAATGTCTGTTTTTTTCCCCCACAATGACACATTGGTTTTGTCTTCAAAGAAGATCAGCAGTCAGTTAAAAGATAAGATCCCACATCAGGTTCAGAGTAACTAGTTACCAAAGAGGAAGGGTGGATCAGCCTTT